ATGAGATACAACTGAGGACGATAAACAATGACAAGCTGCTCCTCTCATATAAACTGCATTTGGAGAACAGAGTCAATTTTTTTTCCTAAATCAAAACTCATTAACTTAAATGAATTACATTTTGATTTCGGTAGGTGAACCTCACACATTAACTCAAATCGGAAACAAAACAAAGATTTAGAAAATGAAGATTTAGTTATAAGTAAATAAATGCAATAAAATAAATTTAGAGGTTTCTGGCTGAGCTTCTCTTACAGTTGAGACTTGTAGCCCACACCTTGGTCAACGCGCATGGTTGGTTGAAGCAGCGTGACTTCCGAAGCCTTTTGTCAGGGTAGAGTTTTGCGGAGAATGAAAGCACTGCCGCCAAAAAGCAATCGCTCCCGTTCCCGCCTGCCGCACAGGCTAACCAACTCAAACCTCTGGCGGCCACACCTGTAGCCAGAAGTAAGCCACTCGCACTCTGCTTAAATCTAACAGGCAAGAAAAAAATCAGCCAAAATTTCTTTTGCTGGTGTAAGTCCTATCTAGCTTTAAATATTCTCCGAGGGAGGAGAGGGGCGGGTTTTAATCAGTCAAGGCGACCCAGTTATAGTCTATAAATAAAGTAAATTCCATTGGTCGGTTAGTTCGTAAACTATACTCTCTGTGTGTTTTGTAGTTCTCCTTCGATTTCACTTGGTACACCTCCATGGATCATGTTCCTAGACAGTGCGGTGTACGTGTCGATGCATTTGGCTCAAACCAACAATAAAAAGTAATAAAAATTGTATCCTGGATCTTGAAGTGTTTCTCTTCCTTGTCAGCTCAACCATTACAAACCTTCTCTTCAATTACACATGAGATCTTTGCTTCTGTCTACGGTTCCTCTCTTGTTGGTGACATCGATAATTTTACAACTGTTCTTCAGCTGCCCAACTTTGTCCATCGGTGACATTAAAAACGTAAAATACAAAGAGTATTCCTGTTAACGGAAGAACACAAGCCGATCAACTTAATCGTGTTTAACTAGGATGTTAGATAACAAAGACAAAAGCAAAACAACACAATACAAGCTTCGACACACTTCATAAAGCAGCAAATTTTCGGGTTTTAAATGATGGATTATTTAAAACATTTCATTCCTTAGTAATAGCTGATAAAATACGTTGATGCTATCTCTAGCTTCTATTACTCTGAGTCAAATATGCCGTGATTTACCAAAGCCTTCTTCGCTTGTGATCTTCTTTTACTTTCCTTTCCTCTTAAACGACTTTGGAAGAGTTAAAGTTGCAGAGAAAATAAACTTCTGTAGATGTCTTCGCTTTGCAGTTCCCTCATCTTCATCATAATCACTGCGAAAAGGAAACGTTAAAGTTAAAATTTGATAAAAAGAGAGTCATTTACCTCAGTTTACAAGTTGACAGTCATGAAAACCATTAATTTCAGAAAGAGAAGGCTGAAAGAAATTGAAGCTCCGATGGAAATTGAAGTCCATTGCCTCTTTCTTTGAATGAGCTCCAATATAGAAGATAATTCTTGAAAGTGGCCTTGCTCGACCATTCGGTCTGCCTCGTCAATCACAAGATATCTCAAGTGCTCCAAACGGCATGCTCTTAACCCTAAAATTAAACGCCGCCAGAAGATATCTCTAGAATCATCCATTTGATAGAAAGAGGCTACACTCCAATTTCACCGTTTTCAAAAAAAACGCCCGGCACTGATGTTTACAGAGCAGTAGAAAATGCTTACAGCTGTACTTATCATTTTTGACGGCGTTTTACGAACGGAAAAACTTACACGACATTGGAAATCCAAATTCATGCTGAAAACTACACAGGACAACCGATCTCATGGGAAACATACCTACATGTACAAGTGTGTGTTGACTGTTTCAGATCTCTAAAAGAAAGTGAATCAGTACAACTTATGATACATGAGGTACTTACCTCGGAAATCAAATCCCACAGTCTTCCCGGGGTGGCTACTATTATCTCAGGACACTTGTTTAAAAGCCTCTGCTGTTTTTGAGGTGCCATTCCTCCAACCACAGCAACAATCTTGAAAAAAAGGAATTGTTTACTGATTCAAATGATTTTGAGGTACTTTGTTTGGTGGGTATTTCTCCGATAAAAGATAAAGTTGAAACAGGACTAGAAGGGGTGGCAAGGGAGTGGAGGGTAGGGGTTAAATGGTACATCATAGGGGCTGGGATTGTAATTCTCTGAACAAAAGGGTTTTTATATACTTTGCTGGTGAAGGTACCAAAAAACAATAGAGTTTATGTTTGAGGGAATAACAATGTTTTCAGCACTAACTCATCATTATTTAAATTGCTTTAAAGCCTATTGTGGCTACAAATTCATGTTTCCCCCAAAAAATTAAAAAATGCTTTCCAAACAAGAGATAGGTTTGCATTCTGCTCCACTGAAAAGAGGAGTATTGAAGGCTCAGGAAACAAAATTGACTTGGGCCAATAAAAATAAAGAAATAATTGAGTTTCTAACAATGGGAAAACAGAAACTAACTGTGGAGGTGACTTCCAAATTGTCAATTTAAGTACATGATGTTACCTCTAAAGATGTGTGTTTTGCAGCCTGTTTAAGATGATTCTTTATTTGTATAACCAATTCTCTGGTTGGTGTCATTATCAACGCCAGGAGTGGTTTCTTGAGCTTGGATGTTCCATTACCAGTTTCTGTGGCTTCTGTAGCATTATTTTTGGTAGTATTTTCTGTAGTTTCACCTGCTTCTTGATTGGACTTGTGGCCAAGGATATGGGTGAGAATTGGAATCCCAAAGGCTAGTGTTTTACCCCTGAACCCTAGTAAATACATAAAATTGTTTTAATTAATACCCTTAAATAATAACCTCCTCAAAAACCAGCCATTCCTGGAAGCTAAACTTCTCCCAAGTGATTTTATCATAACTTCAACAGACAATTTCAAGGCATTATCCAACAAATGATATGAGAACTATGAAACTTAGAACTTGAAGGGACTTATCTTGACAATCTTATTGTAATACACATTTTTGTATAAATAATGTTCCATCAACCAACTATAGGAAGATATAGAATGCCTACATATAGAAGGAAGAACTATTACATTAGTTCTTAAGAGAGTAAAATTTAACCATCAGTCAGTCAGTCAGTCAGTCAGAGCCCTCTCTCAAGAGGTACATCATACACATACTTTCAGCTCAACAGCTCTCCTCAAGAGTGCTTTTACAAAAGTCATATTTATAATTATTCAACAATCACTTAGTACTTAGACATTAATTCAGGTCAAAGACCAGCTCTAAAGAATCAGAAACTGTTTGCTATAATGTGTGCGAAAGTCTTGTTACACATAAATGAGCTAGGTGTACATCATAGTAGACACATGTACATGTTGAAAAATTATTTTTTTCCTCTCTCTCTCTCACTTTCCGAAAAAAAAAAAGGAATCTTCAAAATAGTTGTGAAACCAAGTACACAAACAATACACATAAAAAAAAGAGACCTCCACCAATCTAACTGCTCTGATTCAACTCACTGTTTCTGCTGCACCAATGATGTCCCTGCGGTGGAATATTGCAGGTGGAAGGGAGAAAGTCTGTATAGGGGTTGGTGTAGTAAAACTTTGTTCACTGAGTCCTCTCTGAACTTCTTTGGTAACACCAAGGACTTCCCAAGCACTCATATCTACCATGGGCTCTAAAGTTTAGTTCAATCAAAATAAATGATTTAGCTATAAAATATGATTGCATCTTAAACTCATAGTGTTAGTGAGAAATATCATTTTATTACAGTTGAACCAAATGGGTAATTTTTACCTGTATAGATATGAAATATGTTTGTAAAGGTTTTATAATCTAAATTAATAAATACTTTATTAATAAATAACAATACAGTAATAAAAAACTTACCAGTAAAATTACATTATTTATTACACCCATTTTGAAATCACTGGTGGTCCCTGTAATGAGATTGGCTCTAGTTGATGCGATTTACTCACAAATTGCACCATTTTTTGCCTTAAATTGCATCTTCTTTCCAGTTAATGAGGAGGCTACACTAAAGACAAAACAACCAATCAGATTTCAAGGCTTGTTTAAAGTAACCAGTCAAATTGCAGGAAAATGAAAGACAAAGAGTATCACTTGGCAAATTTTGCAACTTTTGTTTCCAAAACTCTTACTTTTTCCCCCCAAAAAATGGATGAATTTCATTTCAGACCAGCTCAGTACTGCATCAATAAAATATTTGAACTTACCAAGTCCTGTGATTTCAAAATGGATGTAATAAAGTGGTAATTGAACCTCGTGTCATGCAATTTTGGTCTGAAATCATACTTGTGATTTCAAAACGAACTCACGCTGTGCACTCGTTTGAGTTTGAAATCATGCATATGATTTCGGCACGAATTGCACTCCACTTAGTTCAATTACCATTATCTATAGAAAATCATATCTTTTCCAAGATAACATTATCTACACAAAATGTGTTTGATTCTCTTCTTAATAATAAAATCCAAGGACAATCATTGGAGTAAAATTGTACTTTGTTTTGTGCATTTCCCATCCATAATTCCTAAAATTAAATCTTACCTGGAAGATCTTCCACCAGTCTATTGTCAGTGACCATTTCTACTCTGTTTTGCTCTTCTGACTGGGCTTTACTTTGGGCCTTGTTTTTCTTTTTCCTCTTCTTTTTTCCCTTTGTCTGTTGGTCATTCTTTGTGCTTTTTTCAAGTTGTGTGGATGGTGTGGTAACTGTTTGTTCCAGATTATCCTGAAGATTTAAATCAAAAGACAATACTATGTAGCTTTTTTTTTTTTTCCCGTGAGCCAAACTTCTAGAGAAAACCAAAAAGAAGCTTCTATTCTTAGATATACATAATTGTGCATGTATGGGTAAAGACTGACAAAATGCATGAGCCCTTGGGACAATGCAGTCTGCTGTCTTCAAAAAAATTAGGACAAACTGCTCTCAAAATGATTTCAATCAATTCCTGTATTTCCATGTAGTTCTTGTGGTGACTTGTGTTGTTGTTGTTGTTGTTTTTTTTTTTTTTTGTTTGTTTGTTTGTTTTCTCATTTAAGGTATGACTGGCAGTTATCTTAGTTTTGATTCTCATGTCCAATACACCCAATTTGACTCAGGAGACAAGTCATTCCATTTGGGTCAGGTTGAGGATTATTATTAAGCGTCTTGAAAATCGACTTATGGTAAGACATTTCCACCTTAAGATGCAACCCAATTTGGATGTATTGGACAACCCTCAACATTAAATAATTAAAGATGAGTTATAACAAAAAATAAATAGACAAAAAAAATTTAAAAAGATAATTTTTCCCAATTTCTCGTTGTGGTGTTCGGATGGCACGAGAAACGGAGATATATTCTTGGATTTCAACACAGAACTTTTAATAACTTCTAACATGTGTCGTCGCCATTACCGGAAGTGATCATACATCGAATCATGAACGGAAGCGAGGCTGAATTAATGTAAACGTAAATCGAATACAGCACATCTCCCCCTTTAAGATAATAAAAGAGAAACTACTTAGACATACTTGTTTCTTATCTAGCGTGAAATTCAAAATCAAAACAACGTCAATCAAATGTCCTCAAGTAATCGTCATTTTGTTAAGAAACACATCCTGGGTAGCTATTGTCGTTTGTCTCTGCACCAAGTCTCACACACACTAGAATACGCGTTCATAGTTATGACTTTCTGTCTGAGAAACCAGAGAAAATCTGGCCAGAAAGTATAACTTCACTTATGGCACATAATCCTTCAATCTAGATGAGGGCTTAGATTGACGGCCAGATCTGGTGTACACTTTTGATGTGCCAGTTCCTTCTGCAGTGTTAGCAGTTTGGGGTGAAGGAAGTTTAGGTGATGGAGGTACTGGCACCGGTGTGGGTTTGGCTGGAGATGTAGCTGCAGCTGGGGGTGGGGGTGGTATCTTGTTGATCTGTACTCTATTCCTTCTATATGACCCAGTGTCCGTATGGATCACATAAGAACGAGGTGTGCACTTCTCCACTACTATTCCAGACTGTCCTCTGTCTTGTACCATCACTTCATCTCCCTTCTCTAAGGGAACAAGAGGCCTCGCTGAATGCCTTCTGTCAAAGTGCAGCTTCTGTTTGGTTTTGTGATTGTCTTCAAACTGACGTAGGGCATGATTCTGCACAAGGTTTGGGGACAGCTGAGACGGGACCACCGGCACTTTGGTTTTTAGCCTCCTTGACATCATTAGCTCAGCTGGAGAATAACCATTAGCCAATGGTGTCGCTCTATACTGTAGCAAAGCAAGATAAGGATCTTGAGAGCCAGCTAGGAGACGTTTAGCTGTTTGCACTGCTCTCTCTGCTTCACCGTTGCCTGAAGCATGACCTGGGCTGCTAGTGACATGTCGAAACCCGTAATCTAAAGTGAACATCTTAAATTCCCTTGATGTATAGTAGCTGGCATTGTCAGATTTTACTTGATCTGGAATTCCGAATCTGGAAAATGCACGTTTCATCCTGTCTATGACCTCTGCTGAGGCGGTTGAACTCAGACTAGCTACCTCTATCCATCTGGAGTAGTAATCAATCATTACTAAATACAGTCTTTTATTGAGTTCATAGACATCAGTGGCTATGTATTGCCATGGTCGTTGTGGGAGCATGGTAGGAACTAGAGGTTCTGGAGGATTTTTCCTGTTAGACTGACACTTGCGACAGTTTTCAATTAACTCCTCTATATTCTTCATCATGCTTGGCCACCACACTGTGTTTCTGGCCAATGCCTTGCACTTGACAATCCCTTGGTGACCGTCGTGGATCTTATCCAGGACTTCCAATTTCATAGACGATGGTATAACGACTCGAGGTCCCATCATCAACAGCCCTTTAACCACTGTCAGCTCTGCTCTATGAGCAAAATAAGGGCTGACTAAACCCTTGACATTATGTTTTTCAGGCCAACCTTCAGCTACATAGTTCATAATTTGCCTGCATGCTTCATCCTCCTGTTGATGGATCATAATATCATCTAATTTGCTATCACTGATAGGCATTCCAGCTATGACTTGATGAGCATATAAGTTCACTTCCTCATGAAATGAATCACCTGATTTGGCTGGTGTTGGAGAACGGGATAGCGTGTCGGCAGTGTACAACAGTTTTCCTGGCACATGAACAGGTGTGAACGAGTATCTCATGAGCCTCATTCTCATTCGTTGAATACGTACGGGTAGTTGATCCAACTCCTTCGTGGATAGCAGTGGTACAAGAGGCTTATGATCAGTCTCTAGTATAATATCCTTTCCCAGAATGTAATCTGTGAATCGTTCACATGCGAAGGTACTAGCTAAGGCCTCCTTTTCAATCTGGGCGTACCTTTTCTCTACATCCAGAAGGCTTTTGGACGCATACGCCACTGGCGCCCATCTGTCACCGTGCTTTTGCAAAAGCACTCCGCCAAGTCCGTATGAAGACGCATCTGCTGACACCTTGGTCTCTAGTGAAGGATCATATATTTGCAACACTGGGCTGCTCGTCAAACATTGTTTAATCTCTTTAAAAGCCTGTTCCTGTGCTGGACCCCAGCACCATGCACTGCGAGAGCTCAAGAGTTCACGTAGAGGTTGTGTCATAGTAGCAAGGTTGGGTACAAACTTCATGAGCTGGTTCACTGTACCCATCAGACCTCTTACCTCACTCACATTCTCTGGAGCACGCATTTTCAATATAGCCTCAACCTTCTCTGGAGAGCTTTCCACACCATTAACTCCGATCCGATGACCTAGAAAGTCAATCTGGCTTTTGCTGAATTGGCACTTATCCTTATTCAAGGTGACACCTGCTGCTTTCAGCCGTGTTAATGTCTGTACGAGTCTCTCGTCATGTTCCTCCTGGTTCTTTCCGAACACGACAATGTCATCCATGAGACATACCACTCCTTGTTGACCACCTAGTATTCGGTAGATCTCACTCTGAAACTTCTCAGGGCCAGATTTGATACCGAAGGGAATTCGCTTATATCGAAATCGACCAAATGGTGAGATGAACGTGGTCAGTTTCCTTGAATCTTCATCCAAGCAGATTTGGTGGAAGCCCGCATTGGCATCCAGTTTAGAGAAAACCTTAGCACCTCCCATCAGAGCAATTGTATAATCCACTGTGGGGAGCATGATTCTTTCTCTCTTCACTACTTCATTAAGCTTCGTGAGATCCACACAGATCCTCACTTTGCCATTTCCTTTAGGCACCACGACCATAGGAGAACACCATTCCGATGGTTCTGTGCACCGTTCTATAACATCTAGCTCGATAAGCTTGTCAAGTTCAGCTTTGGCTAGAGGAAGTAGTGGAATAGATATCCTCCTGGGAGTCATCACACTGTATGGCTCTGCGTTTTGCTCGATCTTAATCTTATATTCTCCTTCTAGCTTTCCTAAGCCTTTGAACATTGATCCGAACTCCGCTGACTGGATAGGATCTGACGTAACTTTTCCAATGAACTTAACGACACCTAGATCTGCACAAGCGTCTCTACCTAGCAATAGAGAGCCTTTGGGGAACACATATATATCCTCTGTGATTGTCTGATCACCTTTCTTTAGTTCTGCAGTAAAGAATCCAAGAGTTGAAAAGTTGCTTTGATCTGGGCCACTAAGAGGCCTGTCAGGCTTCTGCAAAATGAAGTGTGAAAACTGTGTATCATACACAGCTTTGGAAATGACTGTCACATCTGCTCCAGTATCAACAGCAAATTTCAGGCTCTGACCTGACACCTGGACTTCCGTAAACCATGCACTCCTACGTTTCCTGTTGTTGATACTCTCAATAGAGTAACTTTCATCACTGATGCTTCCTAAGAAGTAGTACTCATCTGAGTCAGACTGCACTTCTGCTACCTCTTGTACAGACCCTTTTCCTTTACTACTCCTGCAGACCTTGCCCCAATGTCCTGGGCGTTTGCACTTGTTACATTTACTGTCTTTTGCAGGGCATCTTTCTCTGGGGTGCACCTCCTTTCCACACCACCGGCATGACCGGCTATTCGACGCCTGGGAGCAATTTGATGCACTTCTTTGCTGCCCGTTACTACGTGGTCCCTTGTCACGAGGGCCTCCTTTCCGCCTATGTTGAACTGCCTGCACTTTAGAAGTCTCTCCTTTTATATCCTGAGCCCACCTTCCAGAACATTCTTCTGCTCTACACTCATTTATCGCTTTTTCTAAAGTCAGTTCACCATCTCTCAACAGCCGTGCTCTGACCTTATCACTATTTATACCCAATACGATCTTATCTCTGACAAAATCGTCCTTTAGTTCACCGTAGGCACACGTAGACACGAGAGTGTTAATTTGTGATAAGAAATTATCGAAACTCTCACCTTCTGATTGCGTATACCTGTGAAACTTGTAACGTTCATAAGTAACATTTGTTTTCGGCGTGCAGAACCTCTGGAATTTCTCCAGAATTAATTCCGGATCCAGTTTGTCCTCTGCTGGTACATGTTCCTCCCCTTCGGGGTCACCTACCGCTGGAGCCCATGTGAAGCCATTGTAGATTTTCAGCGCCTCCTCACCTGCGAGATTTAGCAGTATAGCACTTCTCCTTTCCTTACTGGCAGTAGATAATCCAATGGCGTTCACATATAATTCGTACTGCTGCTTGAACAACTTGAAATTCTCACTTGCATTTCCCGATAGACAAAGAGCTTTCGGTGGTGGAAGATTCGTAGCCATATTTCCGCGTAATTCCTGATCACTGATCGCTAAATATCCGTTCTGGACACAGTTTATATCTTCTTGTTCACTCCTGACACCATGTGGTGTTCGGATGGCACGAGAAACGGAGATATATTCTTGGATTTCAACACAGAACTTTTAATAACTTCTAACATGTGTCGTCGCCATTACCGGAAGTGATCATACATCGAATCATGAACGGAAGCGAGGCTGAATTAATGTAAACGTAAATCGAATACAGCACACTCGTAAAATACAAGGGTAATTTCACCACGTGCTTGAAGTGAATCTTACATTTGTATCTTCTAAATTTAACCATGCGGTATGTTTTAAAGGACTTTCAGCAATTCACCTCCTGCAGCGGCCGTTCTTTTATTTTCTTCTTTTGAGCTGGTCCACCTGCACTAATTCCTGCTTGCTCTTCTGGATGATAATCTTCCATGACTTCAAGGGACACAAATCCATCCATTTCGCCCTCTAAGAACGAAGGATCGTCCAATTCTACTGGTTCCCATTTTCGCTTCTTCCCTTTCGAATTCTTCTCTACCATTATGGAGCAGTGAGCAAAGAGCTTTAATTGAGAAACTGAATGTAAACGCTCTTTCAAAATAACAAACAACCGTTTTGGTTTATCCTTAGAGAATTAATAAAAACAATCTCACGTCGTCCGCCATTATGGATTACCCGCCAGAGAAGGACTGGATAAGAAATTGTACTGCGCGCATATTCAAACGGGAGTCATGCGCTGCTTTACTACAACATGGCTTTTCTCCCTTAGCCGAGTTAGTTGAAACCTTTGTAAAGCGCGAATGAAAAGACTAACATGGCGAACGAACACCGTACATTCAAAGGGGAGTGCATTTATATTGAGTGCTTAAACGAAAACTCGTTTCTTATCAAGAAAGGCTTTGTCCCAAACATGAAGGTAAGTGAACACGCGCCAAACATCAGATCGGAAGCTCAACTCCAGCTGAGTAGCGTGCGTGTCAAAATACACGTCTAACGATGTCATACTTGAGAATGTTGATAATAAGCTATGGTCATCGAAGTAAATCCCCTTACACCTGCCATATCCGTCAAAGTAATTTCCTTCTTTGAAATAAGTTTTGTCAAAAGGAAAATTGTTTCTGGGACAACTAGATTTTGTTCTCCCCCTCCTCCCCACCTTTTCTGCCCACGTTATGATAAAATCCCCGCCCCCCTCCCCCCCGTCCCCCCTCCACGTCTCTCATGTCAGAACTGTTTTCTTTTTTCTTTTTTTTTTTTTTGTTTCAATCAGTCAATTAGCGAACTACAGTCAAACCTGTCTTAGGTGACACCGTATTAAGCACTCGCACTGTATTAGACGCCATATTCCCGTGGATGCGTGCTTAATACAGGGTTGACTGAACTGGACAAATAAATTTTTGGACAAATTTTTACATACTGTTTCAGATACAAGACTTGAGGTGTACATTGCAGCTATTCAACTCTGAATTTCAAACTATTTTTTTCTCTTTTTTTTCTTTAAAAATTGAAGGTATCTTAGATATATAAATGAGTTGCTTGAAAAGCAAGTGTTTGATGAGCTGAAGCACTGGGCTGGAACTCAAGGTACAGTACTCTAAACATTTGAAATATAATACTGTTGTATTTGCTGCATTTTTCTTATTCCTTTGATACAGTTAAATTAAATTGCTCTCCAGGTATTGGTGGTTTCCTTACTGGTGTAAAGCAGATTGCAAATGTTGCAGCTTTGCCTGGAATTGTTGGTGTTAAAATGATCATAACTTTTTCTTGTTGAAATTACAACTCAGTTTAACTCAAACTTGTTCAATCCCGGGCCCAGTAGTTCAAAGGCTGATAAGTGCTAACCCAGGGTTAAATTTTAATCAGGGTGTGTTTAATCCTTGGCTTAAAAGCCTTTTTAGAATAATTTACTATAATTTTTTTAGGGCATCCAATCATCAAATTGCAGACTAAAGGAATTGTACATACTGAAGTTCATTTGAAAGCTTTCAGATATGAAATCAGATTTCACACTGACCATTAGCTATCTTAACTCAGCTTTTAACAAACCGGGCACCCTGTACTCTTGGGAAGCAAAGAAAGTATAAAGTGGAGATGACAGAAGAGTTTCTTGTTATACAGTTTGTGTTTCCAGAGTATTTTTACACAAAGATTTCACTTAAAGTGGTGCCAAATAGAGCATCCAGTTATCCAGTTAGATCCAGGTATCCCATTATTTTAGAATGTGGGTGTATTGAACTTTCTCTGTGGTAAAAGTTTTATTTCCTACTTAATAAATTTAGGAAATTCTGAAATAGTATGCATAGAATACTAATATCCTTCTCAGGGAAAATGCACATATTTTTTCCAAGCTAATGAAGTCTTGAAAAAAGTACTTTCAGAGACAATATCATCCATCTCTAGATGAATTTGTCATCTCTGAAAGAATTTGTCATCTCATCAATCAGACTTTATGAATAATAATAAACCCCCAGCCAGAGAAATTTTTGATCACTTCCCTTTTGTTGAAATAACAATAACAAAGAATTCGTATTTTTTTGCTTGGACCTCAGAGATCAGTTGGACTACCAGATGTTCATTCTGGCTGTGGATTTGCTATTGCTATTGGTAAGTTACAATTCACACATTTGTGATAAATAAGGCAACATTTTATTCTGAATATGTTTGTGGATTGTAGTTGTGTGAAGTGGGGTGTCGTGTGAAAAAAATTTTTCTCAATAAGTTATTTGTCAACAATGTAGTTTCCTCGTCATAACTCAAAGTAAGTGCCCTTTGATGAAGCTTATAGTTTCTTTTCAAACTGGTAATGTGCTTAAAATGACTTTGGTTGGTCATGGTGATGAATTCACTTTCTGAATGCAGTATAATCATTTGTCTCGCCATTAATTTACTTTGGATGTGGATCATGACTTTTTGACTACATATTGTGTCTTCTTTGCATTATAAGGTCAGTAGATATGCTTGACCTTATGAAACTCTCTGTTTGGCTGTGATTGGCTGGAATCCCACACAGGCTTTGATTGGCACACTGACCAAATGTTCCTTTGGAGTACACTGTCGCAGAGTTATTATGTTTTTGTGTTTCTTGTGGTCAGCATCCATGTTTCTGGGATGTCTACCTCAATGTCCAATTTATGTTGTAACAGGCAAAGTCTTATGTGGATGGCCTCTTATACCCTGCATGTATAATAATAGGATCACAATCAATGTACTCTACTTCAGTCCAGAGCAGGTGGTTTCCAGGTGTCTTCTGAAACTGCAGAGGCCTTTGTCTTAGCATGTCATTTCTCTATATGCTATATAACTCGTTTAACCTTACTTGCATAGGTTTTCCTGTTCCGCTGATGTAAACTTTGCCTTACTCTCAGGGAATCTTTTCAACCAGGGGCTCTTGTTTTAAAGATGCTGTGCCATGGAATTGGGGAGTGTCCTGTTACTATTTGTAACATTAGTGAAGTGAATGGAATGCTTTCGGTTCTTCAAATGCTGTAGCAAGCAAGATTGTGAATGTGTTATATACAGAGTGTTCCCAGATCCTTCACTGGAAGGATGATTAGGTTATCGATTGCTCCTATAACTTAACTATAAATATTGTTATTAATTCTTTTTATTTATTTATTTTTACTTTTCGCAGTGGAGAGGAGGGGGGTTTGGATGGGTGGCTTTTCTAATTTTGTAATTTGAGTTTATATGCTTACTTTGCAGTTCCACCCCGTTTTAGTAATGAGTTTAGAAATCTCACCATTGCGCCCTAAAGCTCCATTCCTTTGATGCACTGTGATCTGTGTGATCTTGGACCACAAATCCTAATCCACATCCTCCCAAAGGAACACACAATTTAACTCCACATTTACAAAAAAGTGTTATTTGAGAGGTGATCCACAAGTATCAGTCAGCTGGACCAAGGATGGAGTGCTACTTAGTAAAAACAACAGCCTGGTTATTAGACAAGTGACATTTAAAGATAAGGGCAATTATGAATGTACTGCTAAATATGATTATGGCAAAGCAAACTCTTCCTTCCAGATGGATGTCAGAGGTAAACTCTATATTGTAGTTTATGTCAGTCATCAAACTTGTAACTTAACAAAGCATTTGTTTTGAAGTTGAAGCCAAATTTAAAGAGACCTATTTTTTTCTCTCTTTTCATCCATATCATTTAAAAATATAAATGACCAAGGAACTAAGGAGTCATTATCTTATGATTCATTTTCATAAGTGTTAAAGGTAGTTCATCAACTTGGATATGAGTGTATCATTACCTAAATATTAATGATTGAAGTTGGAAAGAGATTACAAAGGAACATTCATATAACTTGTTTCAAATTACCAACATTAGTACTCTTTTTTCTAGAAAAGGGTTCCTGATCGCATACAGTTGATTCTGACTCACAGACAACCAGATTGTAAATGAAGATAAATCCGTGACCAAAAAAATAATTGAAAACACCTCCTGTTGTTAAGAAATTGCAAATCCTGTGGTCCACTCTAACATTTTTCTCTGTGAACTTATGTTAAAACGCACAATTTGGATATGTCAAATGACAGATTTCCTTTTTTTTTTTTTTCATTACAGAATGCAAATGTTTTATATTGTTTGATCATCATTGCTTAATAACTTTTGGAATTCAATATATACTGTTAAAAAAATTAAACTGATAGTAATTGAACATTTATGTTTCTAACAGTACACTCAACAACCAAAAAACATTATTGGAACTAACAGCCAAACAATATCTTTTTATGCTGAACTGGAAAACCTCTGGAAAAATTGACTTTGGTGAAAAATAGACTTGACAATCGGGTTTTTTGTTTTGATTTTGTTGATTTTTCAAGGAACTGAGGGACATGATAGACTATAGCTGGAGCAAAACAAAATAGATTTTTTGTCAGGGTTTAATAAGTTCTTTTATAATTACTGTTAGGATTGGAAATCATTGAAATTATCACCACAACAGAGAAATGGATCTTACCATGTATGTATGGAGTCACATCCTAAAAGGAAAAATTTGGAGAAAAATATATAATGGTAAGTACCTTGTTTTCAATTTAGTGGTTTCAGTGTTATTATATCACAGATTAATTTAAGGACTTCACTTTTTCAAAGCATGGCCAAGGAAAAGACCTGGATTAATCACATTGATTTAGTTTGATTGGCGTGATTGAGTTCAATAATAAAATTATTGAACTCGCTGAAAATTTCCAGTTCAATTATGTTTGATTGAACAGCAATCTAACAATTGGATTCCACTGAGTTCGATTGATTTTTGGCTGGGTTTTGT